GTTGTTTTAGGATAGACATGACAGTTGCGTATATTTTGACATGTTATACATACATTTTGTGCAACCCATTATAATTCTGATCCAATTCTTGGGTCTGATGCTTGTTTTCTTTGTTATAGGTGACAATTTGTCTGAAGCAGGAGCTGGATCAGTTACACATTCAGATACTTCAAGTCAGCCCAGTGCAGCTTATTCCTCAAACCAGACGATGGGCACTCAAATGGTTTCTAGTGTCCCACAGGCTGATATAAATGTTCCAGGGCAAATTTATCCATCTCAGCAACTGGTAGGACATTGCCAGCAAGTTTCAGGGGTAAGATGAACTGTTACTTTTTTTAAATATAGAACATCATATTTACTATAAATGGGAGAGTTTATCTTTAATTTTTTTTTCTTTTTTAACAGTTACAAAAGCAGCCAAATCTGACTCAGCCCCAAATTTTGCCTGTGGTTCAAGGTCAGTCCACTATTTTGCCTGTACATGTCCTTGGACCTACAGTTGTTTCACAGTCCCAAGTTTCCCCATTAACTGTGCAGAAGGTCTCACAGACAAAGGTAAGATATCATTTTAGAGACTCTGTATTCACTGAGACAAATTTAACACTGCCTAGATTTTTCTAACAAGCAAAGATTCTCTTTTATAAATCCATCATAGTTTAGATAAAGGTCACAGGAAACTAAAAGTTGTTTATGCTTTCCTTCACCCAAGACATTCCTCTTGAGGATATACCTAACATTGTGCAAACACTGTTTGCATAATTGGGGAAGAAACAGAGGACTCAATGTATGGACAAAAATCTATTTAGGACTTTGATCTCTTTTTCTTGGTAATACTAGTTTCTTCTTGGTATTGAACTTTTCCAGCCTGGTTTGAGTGTGGAGTGATATCTGTTGCAGTTTATTATAAATAGTATTTCATTGCTGGGTGCAATGGTACCTATAATCCCAGTGACTTGGGAGGCTGAGGCAGGAGAATTGCAAGCTCAGGGTAGCCTTGGCAATGAAGTGAGACCCTATATTAAAATTTTAAGGGTAGGAAATGTAGGTCAGGAATAAAGTGCCCCTGTGTTCTATCCCTAGTACCACAAAAAAAGATTTCATAGACTTTAATAATTTTTTGGCACATCCATCTAAATTCTTGACTTGTTTTTGGTTCATGTTTATTTCTGTAGGAGAATAAGAAGTATTTTTGTCTTTCAGACCAGTAAAGTCAGCATTATGTGTTTCCAACAATAATTAAACAGTCTTTGAGTTAATTCATATATTCAAATTATATCCTGTTTACCTAGGTTATGGACTCTGGACCCATGGTTGGCCTTTTCTTTGCCATCACCCTGCTTTCTCCCTTCACTACCCACCATTCCCTGCATGTGCCTTCTAAACTCCTGGGCATTCTCTACTTAGATAGCAGCTGATGTATCTGTTTAAGAGATTGGTGTACAATCAAACCCAGTTCATTGATAAACTTAATGACTGCCATCTTCTAGGGATATAAAGTAAAAAACAACATGGTCTTTAGCCTCCTCAAGGAGCTCACAGTCTTGTAAGGGGAAAGCATACACGTACTTGACAAATGCCAGATACATTTAAAATCTGCAGCGGGCAGATTTAGTCTGATATAGTTGAGCTGTCCTAGTATTTGGCTAGTCTTTATAAGTGATACAGTACATATTTGTAATTGAGCTCATGTTGTGGTTTGGTTTGTTTCTTTCTAAGACTATAATGCAAAGTATGTTGAATAGATTCTTACATTTAACTCAGATTCAACCACATAAGTATACAGGTATGTGAATTTAAAATGTGTTTCCAAGTTTTTTTTAAAGTTAAAATTTTGTGGAGAAAAAAAGCTAAATATTGTTATGAAAGTGTTATGTGCTTATTTTAAAAAGTTAAAGGTCATAAAATTATATAGAAGAAAGTGAAAATTTTGTTATCCCTCCAGCTGGAGACACTTATATTCGGGGTATATAGCTCTATGTTTGTCTGTTTTTCTATGTACCCATGTATAGTTTTGTTATAGATGCATATGTATATTACATGCATATTATCTTTGTAATCTGTCCTTTTCACCTACTATATAAAATCCATGTAAGCAAGATTTTGATCATTTGGGTCTTTTTATGAGCCTGGTGGCCCAAGTTCTTGGAATTATTTAGTCAATCTATATTAATTCCAGCGAATTTTAGGTTCATTTTAGCTGTGATAATGAAATCAGTTTTGTTTTCTCTTGGGACTTCCACTATCTGGTGTGTGAAGGTATCAGATTCATTTACTCTGAATCTGCCAAGGTTCAAATGAGTTATGTGGTAAGTGCAATAAATGAGAAACCATGAGCAGTATATTGCTGGGACTAATCTCAGCTCTTTGTATATTTAACTAGCATTTACTCATGGTATTAGGATTTTTATGGAACTAATGCCATACCTAGCACCTTTTTGATAATTAGATAACTTTTTTTAGAATATAGCATTATTTTATCAATCATCTGGAACAGTCCCATTAAAATGGGCATGGTATATACATTTATAATTTGAATTTTCCTTGCACCAGCACCAGGAACTGCAGCTGGCTCTTGGAACAGATGGACAAACTTCAGCCCAACCCATGATTTTAGACTTGTCAGTTTCTGGAGTTCCACAACCAGTCCTTTCTGCCGTTTCTCCTCAGACATTGCCTGCTTCACAGATGACTTCCCAGCATCCAACAATTGGTCTTCAACTTGAGCCTGGCCCCAAAAATGGGAATCAGGCATTAACCAAAGCACCAGATGCCAATCAGACTTCTAGTTTCTTACTGGTTAATCACCCTCAAGCTTTGTTGAATCATTCTTCTGCCCAATATGTGAGCAGTGCACAGAATGCTGCTGATACAGCTCAGCTCCTTTCTAATTCCATCAGGGGTCATTCAGGGGCCCATCATCCTTCACAAAAGATACAGTCAGTATCACAGCCCTGCCCAGTGGTACATCAGGAGTCTATAACTCCAACTTCTTCAGTGCCACAAAGCCAGACTGTGCAATTGAAGGAAACCGTGCCTTGTTTCCAAGCCTTTATTCAGCAGCAGCCATTATTTTTACAACCTAAGATTATGGCATCACCACAGAAAAATGTTCAGCAGGATTGTATTCTGCAAGAGTCTGAAGCTCTTGCAAGTCAGCAGCAGCCAAAGGGTGGTATTGAAAGTGTGATTCAGCCGCTGGAACGGCCATCTTATTCTGTTCAACACACTTACCCAGGGCCACCTGCAGAACTACCACCTTTCCCACTGAAGGCTCCTGAGCAGCTGCCCTTTGTGATACATCCCCAGGAACAAACTTCTTACTCATCACAGCCAACTTACCCAGTCCAGGCTCCAGCACAACCTATTTATTCACTGCCAGCCCTGGAGCATCCACTTTACACTGTACAACCACCGGGATCACAGCCAGCCTATTCCATGCAGACTTCTTATCCAGTCCCACCTACAGCACAGTCCTCTTATTTGGCACTGGCCCAAGGGCAGTCTGCTTACCTAGTGCAACCTCCAGTTCGGTCACCATTTGCAGACCAGACAGCATATGCGATCCAGGCAGCTTATCCTGTGCAACCTATGGAACAGCCTGCTTATCAGGCACTGCCTCTTGAACATGTCTCTTACTCAGGACAGACTGCTTACACCATCCAGACTACTGAACAGGCAACCTTCATAACCCAGCAAGTATACACAATAAACCCTCCTGATAGCCAGCAAGTACCCATTATAAACTCTACAGATCAAAAGTTATACTCTGTACCACCTTGTATAGCACAGACATCTGAGCAACAAACCTATTTAACACAACCACAAGGTAGTACTTCTTTAACATTGAAGCAAAAGATGTACTTAACACCAAGCTTAGATACGCAGTTACGTTCTACTGAACCTTTATTTAGTGTCCAGCATTCAGTGGCTCCATCCCAAGCAGATGTCAGTTTTGGACACCAGCAGCTAAAAACTCAGGTGCAGTCAACTAGTATTACATCTCAGAGGGCAGCAGAAGGACAACTTCAACACCCTGAGCAGATGTCCTTCACTCAGCGGGCCTCTTCACAGTCCCAGATCCAGCCCACTCATTTCTCAGCACAGATTTCCCAATCACATCTAACACCAAGCCAGGTTTCTCACTCAGCTTTCATTCAGCATCAGCAGATGACTCATTCATCTCGTAGACAAGCACAGAAAATCCATCATTTGTCTACTCAAGACGGTTCCATAAATCAACAGCAGTCTTTGTGTAGCCAAAATACTGCTTCTCTACAGCAGAAGGTACCTGATTCACAGACACCTAACCAAATTCAGCCATTACCAGGTATTCCAAAGACCGTTCCAAACATGGTCCAGATTTTACCTTCTTTGCAAGAACAGTTGCAACTGGTGGCAGTGGAACAACAACATGTAATACAGCCTTTAGAGCAGCCTCAAGTGTTTCAGGCATTAGACAATAGTCAAACTTTTCCCCATGGCATCCAGCGACAGTCTGCTGGCCAGCCACAGTGGCAGCCATCTTGTAGCTTAGCAGCCATTTCTGGGTCATCAGAACCACAATTACAACAGCAGACCCTCTATCAAAACTCTGGGATAGCCCTTCCAAATCAGCCGTCTTCTTCTGTTCATCTCCTGACACTTAGCATTCCAATACAGGCTTCCACTGCCTGTCAGAGCATTTCTGTATTACAGACACAGCATCATTTGCAAGGCCAAGAAATTCCAAAGGTAAATCTTCCTGTGGGGGGAATGTGGATGATTGTGATTTTTTTTTTATAATGTTCAAGAATCAGGGAAGTAGTAGCTATAGTCGAAAAGACACTGAACTGGGTGGGAATCACAGTCCCCATTTCTTGTTCTTTCCTTATTCACTGGGTAACCTTGATTCAGGTCTCCCCTGGGTTTCTTCATCTGTAAGGTGAAGTGAGCAGAACAGGTTACAACAACAACAACAAAAATATATTAGAACACTTACTTGGGATCTATCAGTGAATAAAATACAAGTATCCCTTCTGTCATTGACTTTTGTTCTCTATACGAAAAACACTTAACAACCATTGTAAAAATTAAGTTATATAATACAATATAAGGTTCTCTAGAGAAAGCATAGAGCAGGTTAAGTTGGAAAGTGGGTTGCAGGTTTAAAGAAGGTGGCCATCAGAGTAGGCCTCATTGGAAAAGTGTGATATTTGAGCAAATATTGGAAGTAGATGAGGGAGTCAGCAATGCAAATTCGAGGTTCAAAGGCCCTAAGGCAGTAATGTGGGCATGTTTGAAGAACAACAAGGAAGCCAATGTAGCTTTCTAAGATTTCCTGGGCCTAAAATATTAGGAGCCTATGCTTCTCTTCCAGTTCTACATTTATAATAAGGTATTTGCCCATATGAGAGATAATTAAACAATATTGAGTTATTCTTATGTGCCAAACACTATCCTTTTTTTGTTTTGTTTTGTGGTGCTAGGAATGGAATGCAGGGCCTTGCACATGCTAAGGAAACATTCCACCACTGAGATACATTCCCAGCCACCCAGATACTATTCTAAAGGCATTACATGTATTGTACTCACTCTAGCTCTAGGAATCCTATCATTGTCCTTGTTTTACAGGTAAGGAAGGTAAGGTTCAGAGAGGTTAAATAACTTTCCAAGGGTCATACAAGAGGGCCAGCATTTGAACCAAGACTACCTGGCTCCAGAGGCTATGAACTCAATCATATACTACATGGCCCCTTTGTAAGATACCTACCCTCCAGGTCAGTATTGGAGAAAAAGGGTATGATAACTTCAGTGACAGTTAATCAGGGAATTGATTGAATTAATTATAGGAAAGAACAGAATATGATCCATTCTTTTTTTTTTTTCTCTCTTCTGTTCTGTTTTAGATATACCTGAAAAACTCCAAAATTTTGAGCTTGGCTAATGAAATGCCTTGAGATCCATATAGATAAAAGATGTGCTGTGTTGTAGCAATTTTCTAGTGATTATATATTACTATTCCAAACAGCTGTTACTTTAAGTATTATGTGTTTTAAAATTCCCTCTTCAGAGGCTGGGGCTGTGGCTTAGCCGTAGCGCACTTGCCTGGCATGTGTGAGGCACTGGGTTTGATTCTCAGTACTGCATATAAATAAATAAAAATAAAGGTCTATCAACAACTAAAAAAATCTTTTAAAAATTCCTTCTTCATCAGCAATATAAATTATAATGAATGTTGATATGTATATGTTGAATCCTAACAGGATTGAGGAAAGATAAATATATTTACTATTGAGGTTTCATCAGACAGGGCATACAATTCTAGGATTTATTTCATTAGAATTAAGGGTTTCACAAAGTATTTGAGATTGATTGGAATGCTTATTTCTGCATGTGATATATACTTTCCTTACCTAATTAAAATTTTTCCCCAACATCTTATTTGAAAAAATCAAAGGTACAGAATAGTTGAAAAATACTGTAGCATGAACACCCTTATACCTACCCTATTGATTGTACAGTTAACTTTTGCTGTATTTGCTCTATCACATACCTGTTTATTAATTTCTTTAGTCCTTTATTAATCCACCTTATTTTGTGATGCGTTTCCAAGTTAAAATAAGTTGCAAACATCAGTGTACTTCTGCATAAAGACTTTAGCATACATATCATTTATTAGAAATTGGTATTTATGTTTTTTCTTTAAATTTTAATGTAGAATAAAATGCACAGATCATAATTAATTAGATTTTGACAAATGCTTACACCTGTCAACCCAAATCATAATCAAGATATAGGATAGGTGTTGACAAACATTTTCTGTAAATGTCTACGCAGTATTTTAGGATTTCAAGGTGGTACAGTCTCTATTGCAACTACTTAGCACACTGTTGTATGCATGAAAACACCCATAGACTATATAAACATGGCTGTGTTCCTTTTTAGAACACAGGTTTATTATCCTTGTTTGAAAATGTATAGTGCAACAGATTTTGCCCACAAGTGGTACCTTGCCTGCCTGATACAGAATATTTCTATTACTCCAGAAAGTTCTGTTGTGCTTTTCCCTAGTCAGACCCCCCCCTATACCATTGCTGTTGATTTTTTTTATCATCAGTTTAGCCCATTCTAAACATTCATAAAAATGAAATCATATTATACCTACTTTTTTGGGGTACTGGAGATTGAACTCAGGGGCACTCAACCACTGAGCCACATCCCCAACTGTATTTTATATTTTATTTAGAGACAGGGTCTCACTGAGTTGTTTAATACCTCACCATTGCTGAAGCTGGCTTTGAACTTTCGATCCTCTTACCTCAGCCTTGAGTCTGTGGGATTAAAGAAATTGCCTATTTTTTTGAATTCACTGCACTATTCTATATTAACATCAGCAGTATATGAGAGTTCTACACCCTCACCAATGTTTGGTGTTGTCTTTTTAATTTAAACTATTCTGATGGGTGTATGGTAGTGTCTCATTCTGGTTTTGATTTGTATTTCCCTGATGACTATGATGTTGAACATCTTTTCATGTGCATTTGTTGGCCTTTGTGTGCTTCTTTGTGAAGTCATTTGCCAATTTTATTTTGCCTTGTTTTTCTTTTTTAAGTTGACTTATATAGGAGTTCTTTATATATTCTGGATGATATCAATCCTTTGTCACATGCATGTTTTACAAATATATTCTTCAATCTGTGGATTGCCCATCCATTTTTATAATGTTCTCATTCATAGACACAAAGTGTTTAAAATTTCTGTTATGGTTACTGCTTTCTATGGTCTATGAAATCTTTGCCTGCACACAACTTCTAAGATAAAATCCTATGCTTTATGTTTTTTTCTGTCCTATATTCATGTCTGTGGTTCATCTTGAATTAATTTTTATGAATGATGTAAAATAAGGGTTCAAGGTTCTTTTTTTCCTTATATGAGTATACCATTGATTCAGCTACATTTGTTGAAAATACTTTCATATCTTCACATTCTTTCCAAGATTATTTCTTTTTGATTATAGCCATCTAGATAGGTGTAAACTGATATATCCTTATGGTTTTGATTCGCATTTCCTGAAGCCTAGTGATATTGAGGATCTTTTCATGTGTTTTTTAGGTCCTTCTTATATCTTCTTTTAATTTCCTCTTAGAAATACCAATTGAAATAATTTGCTCATCTTTAATTGTTTTTGGAATTGTTGGCTAGTAAGAATTCTTTATATATTCTGGATACTAGACCCTTATCAGATATATGATTCACAAATACTCTTTCCCACTCTGTCAGTCTTTTCAGTTTCCTGGTGGTCCTTTGTGGGAGATATATATTTATTTTAAATTTGATAAAGTCTTATTTATATTTTTCTCTGATTGCTTTATGCTATTGGATCATATCTAAGAAACTATTACCTAATCCAGGATCATACAGATTTTCCTATTTTCCTCTAAGATTAAATCTTAACTCTTAAATTTAGGCCTTTGATCCATTTTGGGTTAATTTTTGCATATAGTTTGAGGTAGAAGTTCAGTTTCATTCTTTTCATGTACATATCCAGTTTTCCCAGCACCATTTATTGAAAAGACTATTCTTTAACCATTGAATAGGTTTGGCACTCTTATTTAGAATCAGTTGACCATAAACATAGGAGTCCTCCAGCTTCGTTTTTCTTTTTCAAGATTATTTTTGTCTCTTCTGGCCTCCTTGCATTTCCATATGAATTTTAGGATCAGCTTGTCAAGTTTTGCAAAATAGCTGACTGGGATTTTGATAGAAATTATGTAAACTCTGTATTACTTTGGTTAGTATTATTAATGTCAAGTTTTGCAGTCCCAATTATGGAGTTCCTTTTCATTAAATTAGTTCCTTTTCATTAAATTCTTTAAGTGTGTTGATGAGGGTATGGAGAAGTCTTTTATATTGTTGATGGGAATGGAAATTGGGACAGTCATGGAAAACAGTATGGAGGTTCCTCAAAAAATAAAAAATAGAATTGCCATGTAATCCAGTCATTTCATTATCATATAGTTCAGCCATCTCGCTTCTGGACATAATATCCAAAGGAAATGAAATTCGTATCTCATAGAAATAGCTGTACCTTCGTGTTCATTGCAGCATTATTCATAATAACCAAAATACAGAAAGAGTTTAAGAGACTGTTGATTAATGAATGAATAAAGAAAATTCTGTGTGTGTGTGTGTGTGTGTGTGTGTGTGTACAGTAAAATATTATTCAGCCATAAAAGAAGGAAATATTTCTGTTTGTGGCAGCATGGGTGAATGTGGATGATATTATGCTAAAGTGAAATAAACCAGACACAGACAATCCTATATGCTCTCACATGTGTAATCTAAAATGAAGGTCAAACTCATAGAGGCAGAGGGTAGAGCAGAGGTTTGGTTGCTAAGGACTGAGGAATAGGGGAAATGGGGAGATGTTGTCAAATGTATAAACTTTCAGTTACAAGATGAACATGTTCTGAGGATCTAATATATGGCATGATGATTATGTAGTTAAGAATATCGCATTGTTTATTTGAAATTAGCCAGAAGAGTCAATATTCAGTGTCTTCAGTCCACCTCCCCACTGTGTGTGGATTGATGTATTAGTTAATTTGATTGAAATAATCATTTTACAATGAATCTGTATATCATCAAATCATCACATTGTACATCCTGGATATATATAATTTTTTGTCAATTATACCTCAGTAAATCTGGGAAAGAATTAGATATGAATTTCATCAATATTTTGTAATTTT